CCTGCCCCGGGCCCAGCGCTCCGAGGGTCGCTGCTGGGGAGAGGCCCGTCCGCGCCTCTCGGGGGGTCTGCGCAAGGCCCGTCCTGCTTCCAGTTGACAGTCAGGGCCTGCCTTTCAGCCGTCAGGCCTGGCAGCACGGCCGGGGTTACGAGCAGGTGTTTTTATACACGGACAATTCTACGTCCAGAAGAATTTCGGGTACCCAGAAAGGCCGGGTACCCATAAACCCATGACAGTGAAAGATGCTCTCCAGATTAGAAAAAGAAATTTTGGTTGTTTACTATGACTTCAGTAAGAAAGCTGACAATGCAGTGCAGCTTTTATTAATACGACTTTTCAGTCTGCGTTCAATATTGTTCTCTCATTTCGATATATGGAGGGAAAAGTAACAACCTAAGTCCCCCAGAACTCACATGCCAGCATTTTGTTTTCTTTTACAACTCCTGTTTTCCTTGCTTCCCTCCCCAGTCAACTGCCTGTATTCAGAGATTATTTACTTGTCTGTTTTTCTGTTGCTGAAAAACAAGAAGTTTTTGGGGGGTCTGTTTTAGGAATTTTAAGACCCTAATAATTAATTACTTAGCTGATAAACTCATTGTAAGTGGGCTTTTTACAGCTCTTCGATGCACAAGCCTACACAAGCCATTACCATAATGTACTGAAGGGTATGTTATTTAAATATGTATTTTAGAAGTTCTTGCTCTTACCTTGAGTATTTTTAATCTCACTATTCAAGTTGTCTGTTTAGATTCATCTGTCAGACTTACTCAAGCAAGATGATGAAAAATGTAAATTTTAAAGTTATAAAGCATGATGAATAGTATGAATTACACTATACCGGAGAAGTGATACATGATTTCTGATAGTGAGGGTTTATGGATTAGTTGGGTACAGGCCCAGCCTTTTCTTGTGTAGCTCTTGATAAGGCACATTTCTTCTGATCTGCAGAAATCTCTTACCACCATTTCCAGCTCCTTTGACTGGAAGGATAAACATAAAGTGATTCTGCAATATGAACAATGTCTGTGTGGATCCAAGAAGAAATGTAAAACTTGTTCTATTTAACAGTAGTACTCTTCTAAATTCTAGCTGAGAAGATCACCAGGGGAAGTGTGTTTTCCAGGAGGTAAAAGTGAAGCAATTGATAAAGATGAAATTGATACTGCTCTCCGAGAAGCTAAAGAAGAAGTGGGACTCCAGCCAGAGAAGGTGGAAGTTATCTGTAGACTTGTGCCTGGAATTGATAAAGTAAGCAATAAACTCAGTAAGTCAGCATATCATTAGAAAATAAGCTTGGGTTATTTTCTTTTGTAAGGTTGATAATGACCATTTCAAAGCTGTAACTGTAAATAACCACCACCTCTTAAAGTGAGCAGCCTGTGTTGCCAGCAGAGCAAAGGGAAGAAATCCTTGCTCTGTATTTGGGATTTGTGAGGCCACATTTGGTGTACCATGTGCAGTTACAGACTCACTGGAGTACCAGAAAGACAGTGGTAAACTGGTGAGAGCCTAGTGGAGAGCCACAGAGATAGTAAGGGGGCTGGAGCGCATGGATTGTGAGGAGAGACTGAGAGAAGTTGGTTTGCTCAGCCTGGAGAAGAGAAAGGGGGTCTAGTTGCGCTCTTCAAGTACCTCCGGGGTGGTTACGGAGAAGGTGACTCTTATTGAGACAATGGACACAACAAATGAAATTTTGATGAGAGAAAATTTAAAATAAAGAATATTCTTTTACTTGGTACAAAAGTAGTGTTTGCTTTTTTTTTGTTCTTTTTGTTTGTTTTCCTTTTAGATGAATTACTTGGTAACACCAGTTGTAGGATTTATAGAGGATACATTCCAGGCCATTCCTAATCCAGCAGAAGTGAGCAATGTTTTTGTCGTGCCATTGGAGTACTTTGTCAAGCCCTTAAATTACAAGACCTTGCCTTATAAAACCTCATCTGGTTACTTAGGTTGGATGCACTGCTTTACGTACGATGATCATGAACATAACATGTCATTCAGGATATGGGGACTTACTGCACACTTTGCTGTACTTCTTGCTCTTGTAGTTTTGGGAGAGAGACCTACCTATGAAATTGATTATGATCTTGACAACTTAATTTCATCCTCTGAGAATAAATTCATGAATTTATATGCCTCCATATATGAAAGAAAGAAGAGTAATCTATGACAAACTGGTCTGGCAATTAATTTATACTCATGGAGAGAAAAGGGTTTTCTTTATTCCCTTTGTACCTATTATTTGACTGACTGAATTTCACACTTGAATTTCTTATTAAAATCTATTTTAAAATAATCTTTTTAAGTTGCCAATCCCTAACTAGATTAAGACTATTTTTAATCTGTTCTAAGAGTTGCCAAAAGCACATGGTATTTTTGATGGACTTTATATACAGCTTTGGAAGATCTGTTTCAGTTTCTGCCTTCATTTTGTATGATCTAAGACACTTTCTGTGGTTTGCCTTCTGTACATATAATGAGATAATACTATTTTATTTAATTTTTGTCTATTATAATATGAAAACTTTTGGGGATCTGTCTGTCTTACTGTGTGGCATACTACATATGGACAACATAATGCATAGTCTTGTGTGGTATCTTTAAGCACTTACAAAATGCACAATAAAAATATAAAAGGTGTCAAGTGCTTTCACAATCTTGTTTTGTTTTGGTTGGGCTTGTGGAGGGAAGAGGGAGGTTTAAGGAGCTGTATTATTCTTGCTCAATTTAACATTTCTTAGAAGGAAATTCTATAGGCTATGGAAAACGTTATACCGGCAACGGTACCGAACTTTGCTCTCAGCATCTTGTTAGCATAACTGCTCAGCTCTTAGAGGGAGTCATCGTAAGGAAAGAAAAGTGGAGCTGAGTATACACAGGGAGTAAAATGTTTGTCTGTAGTCAGAGCTTCACCAGTCACCCTGGCAGTGTCAGATACGCGGTGTTCTTTGTGCTGTGAATCCTTGTTTCCTTGTTGCTGGTGAACTAGAAGCTTATTCATACTGGTCGTGATCTTATTGCCAAACAGTTAAGTTTTTAAAAGCACAATTGACTTAGGCTGGATTTGAGATGTACTTTGCAAGTAAACAAGTTACCAGTCCTTGAACAGCTGACCTTCTCTGAGTAGCAGGTGTGAGTTGAAAGCAGTCAGAGTCACGTGCCCTAGTGGCAGTCTTGAATAAGATGAAGAAAAACATTCAGTTGTTCTTTTGGGTGTTTGCACCTTGTGTTCCCCCTCTGTTCACTAATGGATGCAAGTGTGGTAAAAAAGTTGCTGGCAATTCCTGTGAACTGTGCTGTAATTGAGTAGAAGTCAGATTTTTACATAAAGCAGCTTTTGTAGTATACTTGGGAGTTGGCTGCGACTTTAGCAAAATGCATCCTTTTTACAAATAGATGTTTCCCAAGTATGGCTTGAATAGCTAATTATGATTTTCTAGGAAAACCAATTCTAAGATATCTTTTTAGCTTCTGATAATTGCATCCATAACATTCTTCAGCTGCTGTGCTAGGACAGTAGCATTTAGGCACTGAAATACCAGCTTGGGTTGGTAGCTGCAGCGTGACCTTTTACTGAAGAAGAGAAAGATGCTGGAGTTGCACTCCGCTGACAGAAGCATGCCAAAATAAATCACGGCTAAAGTCAATGCAAACCTTCTTGGAAGGACTGACTTTGCCTCCTCTCCCTGCTGCAACTATGCAATACTATTCGTCCCTTCCCAGAGGTAATTCAGTGGTAGGTATGCTACTACAGTATTCTGCCTGAAATAGCCTTAATGCTGTGGCATTAAAGAAGTAAAAGATTGGCAATCCAGACACTGGGCTGGAAAAGGCCTCAAGAATTAGCCTAATTTCTTGCTACCCAAAGATGGAATCAGATCCATGATACTCTGATATTTTTTTCTTAAGCTTCCCTGAACAATCCATTGTAGTCCTTTAGCCACGCGTTACAAAGTTTGCCTAACTTAACAGATGCTAGTTGTAGCAAGGAACACTTACTTCTTGTCCTGTACATAGCAGGATGGTGAATAGCTAATTTCCTTAGTTACTTTCTGCACTCCTGAAAGCTACATCGCTGTGTCTTCCTAAGGCATCTTTAGACTTAATGATTAGATTCCTTCAGGTTTCTTGGTCAGTCATGATTTTCATCACATTTTGTACATCTCTGTCATTTCTGTTGCTTTCCAGAATCTTCAGTGAACCTCCCCCATTCCCCCCTCACCCCCATCAAATATTTGATAATCAAACCTAGTCATGGTACTCTAGTTAACCATTTTTTTGGGTTGGGTAGGACAGGATTACTTCACAGCTCCTTTTCATACATCCCATTGTGACTGCTGTTCGTGAAGCATGGTAATACCGACTCATATTCCGCTTCTTCCACTCAAGTTGCCTCATCCTTTTCTGAGCAAGCTGCCAATTGTTCCTGTATTTTTATTTATTGCATTCTGTATTTGAACAGTTGATTATTCCTACCAAATGTAGCATTTTGCATTTATCCTTACTGAATTACATCCTGATTTTTTCAAAAAAAATTGTAAAGATCTACTACCATGTTTTTCACATTTCCATTTTGCTGTTATCCTTGAGTTTAATTAATGTATTTTCTGTTCCATTTACAACTTAGAGTAAGCACACTCAGAACAGGCCTCTGCAGAATCCCAGTTGGTAACTGCCACTTTGATAATGAACTACTAACTACTGTGTGTGGTTTTCTAACTATCTGTGTATCATACAACTATTAGTTTCATATAGACCAACGCTTCTTAGGTTGCACACAAGAATATTAGGCAGGGCTATATCCAAAACTTGAGGATTTATAATTCTCCCTATACACCAAGCCTGCTACCTGTCCCACAGAGGAAGTAAACACATTTGTCAAAAACAGCTCATAGGACAAAGACAACGGTTGCTATGTATGTCCTTATTAATTACTTATGTTATGTAAAGGTTATTTATTCTGATATCTTCCCAGGAATTGGAACAATTTGTGTAAGTTCTCCAGTTCTTTCATAGGGCACCGTTTGCCTTTTCCCAGCCTCTGTTAGGGAAGAAGATAAAGTTCCCTAAGTTTCAAAGATAATTGCTAATAATGTTGAGATGGGTTCTCAAGAAAATGGCTGTCGCATTACGATGTTTCAAAAGATTGGGCCAGCTTGAGCATTTTAGCATATCTACGTGCCATCAAACCTTTCATATTCCTACATTAACTCTTTTGGAGGCTGTGTTAATTATATTTTATATCAGTTGACTTTTTAAGTTAAAAGATGACTTTTTTTTTTGGCTAGGATTAAATCCTTGGAGAAGTGGTAGCCATATTTATGAAGAACAGCTTTATTTTTCATTATTAAACACTTGTAAAATTGTTAAAACATTTTTAAAAGCTTAGCTTTAAACTCTTCATCATATTATTCATATCCTCAGTGGTTTTTCTCAATGCTAATGTATGCAGGAAAAGTAACTAATTAAAATGAGAACATTTTTAATTAAAATAAAGCAAAGCAATTAGACCTTTGATTAGTAAACAAAACAGGTACCAAGAGACAAAGTAACTTACCATCCTCCTCTGTTCCCAGCAGACTTTTTCCTTCATCGTCTCTCAACCAGATCTGGAACAGAAATGGTACAAATTCAAACCTCTGTTTTTATTTCTTTTTTTTTAAACATTATTGTGGGGAACTGTAAGGACAGCAACCACAATTACAGCTCCTTTTAGCAAATGCAAATCTTGTTGATTTTTGAATCAGATCAACCATTTGAAGTAGTAGAAAAACAAAACTTACAGAGGTCCAATCAAAAATCCTTGAGTGATCTGCAGTAAAACCACTGGGGCTTCATGCTTCACATTATGCATCCTACATAATTTTACTGACATTAGTTTTGAAATTTGGGAAGTACTTTCTTAACTCAAGAGACTCACTCTTTATTTAGATACCCATCTGGGATTTGAGTGCCCAAAAAACTCCTTTGAGCACTAAAAGAATAGAAAGAAATTTAAGTGCTTGTTACTAAAACTGCAATTCTGCAAGTCCCACATTTACTAATGGGAAGTTGTTTCCTTGGGCAATCTTCAGATAAAAGTCTTCCACAGTCTGGAGGCAGAAACTAGAACATGATTCCCTCCAACCTCAGCAGCCCTAACCAATCCACGTCATGTTCTTAGTCTCTTCCCTACCTTCAAGAGTGCCCCAACAGAGGGTCACGAAGTCTAGTGATACAGGCATTTTTCAGCATACTACCTCTGAAGTATGAGAGCTGAAAGTGTGTAACCCTCGCTCCTCCTGGATAAGTGCCCTGTGTCATTAAATACAGTATTAAAGGGAAGTTGCAGCTGCTCTGCACCTCATGTTTTTAAAGGAGAGTGTGACTGTGCCTTGTTTGTGTGAGAACAAAATCATGACAAGGTGGATCCTCCAGGGAGATGAATCTTTGCCTGTGCCTTGGGCTGCAGGAAAGCTGTGTAAACTTGAAAGGGAAAAGATCTAGCAAATACGCTGTTCTGAGAATTTCCTATTAGAAAATGCTGTATTCGGCCCTTAAACTGGTTAACGGCCTAGGACAGTAAGCTTGCCCTTGTATTGTATACAACAGCTGAAGCATCTAAGGCAGGCCCTGGTTTTTGTTCAGTGGGCCAGGTGCTTTACAGTTTGACACTGCAGTGTTACAGTGCCTCGGTTCCTTTTCAGATCTGTCTTTAAAGTCATGTAACAAAGCACTTATCAAGACTTGGGTGTTCCAGTGTTCTCTCTTACTGCTCCTGTATTATACCCAAGTATTATTAAAATAGATTTGTATCTGCTTTTATTTTGAATGTGGTGATTTTAAAGGACTCCTTTACTTTGAATTAGTGATTGAAAATGCACTTATGCTTTGTCTGAAGTTTGGTATGTTAATATAGCTTCCAATCTGAAAAGGTGTTGTATACACCTATATTTACTCTCTGCACTTTTTCTTACAAACAAATCACCAAGGCCATTGCTCAGTTGAAAAAAGGTATTAAAAATATATTCCAGTTTACATTCTCTAGCTATGGGATAAGTAATGCTAGCATGACAGTAAAATGAGTGCAAAGGCTTGTATCAGAACAAGAAAATTACTGATACGATATAAATTAACTGAAAATAAATGGCATACAGTTTAATGTGAGTTATTAGTCATTCTTTTAGTTAACGTGCAGTGATCCAGCATTTAACATTTCTGTATTTTTGAGTGCTCAAATAGTCAGGCTTCTGGTATTTAACGTTTATATGAACATTTAACATTTCTATGTATTTGGTATGCAAATTGGTATTTAACAATTCTAACCATATCAGAAAAAAGAAATAAAATTACTTTAAAAAGGATATAGTATATATACTAGTTTACAGCACTTCGGTGGGGGAAAAAAGATAAAATGTTCATTTCAAGAAGTTCAGTGTATGCTGCTCAATTAAAATGCATGTCACTCATATAGCTAGAGTTCATGCAAGGTTAAGGCAGTTATAGTTAGATGAGAATGTAAATATTCAAAAAAGGAGATTATTTATATTCAGCCTATGCCTAAATCATATACATAAAATAGAAAATCTGGAGGTGTTTTTGTCTTTCAAAAAAACCCTCATATGAGTGCTTACATGTCAATATGGATGTGA